AACCCTCTTAGGTGTAGAATTCCAGTAAACTACACTCTCCCTAATCAAATGTATAGCATCTTTGATTGCATCCAAACCATCCCTCGCAATCAAGTTCAGAATATGAGCTGAACACCTCATATGAATCAGTTTCCCATCAAGCAACAGATCACTGCTCACAAGCTTATTTCGCATATGAAATATCATTGAATCATTGGTGGTACAGTTGTCCAGTGTGATTGAGGACAACTTACCATCAATGTTCCAATCAAGAAGTGAATCAAACAACCTATCAGCTAGCCTTTGACTAGTGTGAGGGGCTGGAACATACATAAACCTCAACATTATGTTACGAAGCTTCCCAGAGTTGTCAATAAAATGACCAGTTACAGCCATATACCCCATTTTCTGATTTGTGGCAGTCCACAAATCAGTAGTCACTGAAATTCTGCCCAAGTTTCCATCAATCATGGTCTGATATTTAGACCTCTCAACCCCATACAGACCCAGAATATCCTTTTTCACCGTGTTTCTACTAGGGACATCAAACTGAGGTTGAAGAGAACAACAAAAACGTTTGAAACCCACATGATCAACAAGGCTAAGGGGGTATTCATGGACCAGAATCATAGAACAAAGTTCCTTCCTAGAAACCTCATAATTGTATTGAGAAGCAGAGAGTTGAGGATTTCCACCAGGTTGATAGTTGGGGCCAAGTATTTTTTGAGAACCATCATGTATCCTCTTCTGGATACATGTTTTGATATGCTTTCTCAGGTGTGAAGTACCATTACTTGTTTCCCCACCAAGGGGTTTACGACAGTACTTACACCTAGCTTTCATTACCCCATTAATCCTAACTCTGTGGAAGTGAGGCCACACATTAGAGGTTAACTTACGTTGTGCTTCCAGTTCTTCCTCATTACCATTAGGTGGATTATTTGGAACAGGAGCAGGTTGTTTAGGTTGGACTTGGACACCATTTTCAGGGACATGTTGATCAACATTGATAGCATTAGCAGCACCTTCCATCTGAACATAATCAAGTTTTATATCACTGATTAGACCTTCATTTTACATGTTTTCTTACTTAAATGGACACCATTTTCAACAAGACAACATTTTTTTCTTCTAACCAGCAAACAAGACACCATTTTCAATAATTTCACCATTACAGTTTACGTCTTCTAACTAAGTTCTTATCATTAGCAAGCAAGCCATAGTCACAACAAGTCAAAGCAACACAACAAACACAAATACACAATGGTTACTACCTACTGGTTAGGACTTATGAGAATGAGATTACCTTGTCTTCCTGTTTTTCTGAGGATTGTCGAGTACCCAATGACAGTAGACTGATCACTGATGATCACTATCACTCGCTCAATTGCTCGTCAGAGTTCAGTCCTTCAATACAGATTCAAACGAGTCCAACCTGGCCAAAAAGGAGTGAAAATGAACATGAGACAAGCATGCATGTATGTATTATTAACACCACGAACCCAGGAAAAGTCGGCGAGTTCAAGATCCTTACCCAGAAAAAGACTTGGACTCTGTCTGGATGCTCGTCGGCCGTCGCAATCTCTATGTCTCTGCTCTCTGTGGACTGGATGTTCTGGCTTCTGGGTAGAAATTTAGAGAAGGTGAGGATGGTGACTGGTGAGGAATGACCTCTGAAATCCCCCTATATATAGCAACACGAGTGTCAAGAGTCAGTAGAGATTTTGATTTGAGGAAACAACGAAGATAATCGCAAGAAAAGAAAAAATCCAGAATTAACTTATCTGTTATCGACGAACAATCAGGGTTTTGAACTCCAAACGACTCATTTTGGGGATGTGCTCGACGAAATCGGCGTCGGATCGTTGCTTTTCCAGCCATGCAATTGGTCGAATGGAGGAATCGAAGATAGATCGTAGTGAAACTAGGAGAGATTTGAGGATTTGGAGAGGAGAAAAGGAAAAAAATCGCGACTATCTTGCGATTGATCGATAATCGCGAGAGAGGAGGTAGAGAGAAAGAAGGAAACTAGGGTTTCTTTCGTTTTCGAGTGAATGGAACAAATGAACGAGGCGGCTGGATGAACTAGGGTTAACTCAGCCTTTAGGAGGAATATATACCTCGACCAAAACTACGACGTTTTGCGGGACGAGTAATCCGTCGGGTGGGTTATGGGGCGGATAGTTCTCGATCCGTCACCACCCGAGACCCATCGTTGACGGATACCGGTTTCACCGCGGCCCGTTGACGGGCTTCAAACCACCAACCACCAGACCCAAATTGGGCGGGTATCCGCTTGCGGGCCCGGGCCTGCCCTCCCTAGACTTCCCCTTTTTGTTAGGAGGCTTTGATAAGCTGGATTCTTTGGCCAATTGAGTCACCTACCTAGGAAAAATTAGGGCAAACATCAAACTTTGATTTAACACTTTAACTTGGGTGTTATTTCGCCGGCCGGATTAAGTTCCGAGGGATTGGTTTTGCAACCCTTAGTTTTATTAGTTATGAGAGCTAGGACTCCTAGCTTATTGTTGCAATCCTTAGCCGAAAGGTTGAGAGAGCTAGACTTCCTAGTTTATTGTACAATCCTTAATCCATTGATTGAGAGAGCTAAGATTCCTAGCTTAATCATTCTCCTTAACCAATTGATTAAGAGAGTGAGGTTTCCTTCGCTTGTTGCGCCCTCCTACGGTGTATTAACACACCTCCACACATTTGCACTCGATTTGGACCATCTTGATATGTAGCTAGGGGGAGCAATATCCGAGTGTACTCTTCTCTCATTGGGACAACCTCGATTTACTTTACTTGCTTGTTTTCATTTGTAGTTTTCTTAGTTTTAAACCCAAAAACGTTTGCTAGATAACAAACTAAACAATTGAAGTAGGGGTACATGGACCGGCACGAGTTTGACAATTAAAACATACTTGCCCTATACTGCACCCGGCTAGAGTTTAGGCTTGAGCTCTAGTCGGGGTTTAAATCACGGTGTATCCGTGGCGAGTCATAGGGTAACACCCGAACCTAAAAGGATTTTGATGGGCATGGCTAAAATCCAAACCTGAATATCGCTAGTGATGGGTCATGATTTTCTCACTATCCAATTCAAACCCGCTCAATCATACACATGTATATGTATTTTGTTTAACAGTTATCATTATTTTTCTTAGCATATTTGATATTCATCATACATATTTAATATTTTCATGAAATTATATTGTTTTAAAAGTAATTTATTCTTTCTAATAATTTATTCTTAATTTTTACTTATATAATGTTAATATACGAGTATTTTTTATAAGGGTGATATTATTTTATTAAATAAAAGTCAAAAGGGTGCAAATCAGTTCCCTACAAGAAAATAACAGCGACAAACACAGGGAAGCTGTAAAACAGAAGCAGAATGCCAAAGAAAAGAAACAAACAACACAAAAGGTAGGGTGAGAAATCGCCCAAACTAAACTGCCACTCCCACGCTCCTCAATGCCAGGCGACAGTAGGATGACATAAAGCCCAAGTATGTAGTAGAAAACCGGAAAAAGCAGCTCGAAATCAACCACAATGAAATGGAAAATAGCACGCCCATCTGAAAAGCAACCGACGAAAACAACCAACGAATCTAGATAACATCTCCGCGGCACCACACCACCATTAAAGGATGATCCATCTTCAAATGGGACAACGAAGCCTCACAAAGCTCCAATAGAAGGCCAGTTACACAACCACGAACAGTTGATCCAGATAGAAGTTTGAAATATTACACTGGTCTTCCATCTATTGACCCTCCTGTTGACTCTCCATTGGGTATTAGTTGTGCTTTCAGCGATCTGAACCAGGCCTCTGCAGGATGACGATCAACTTTATTTGTCTTCGAAAATCTGACAGCCAATCCTGTAGCAGACAACTCTTGTTGTTGATTTTTTTGTCTTCGAAAATCATGTCATTCCTTTCTTTCCAGACGTTCCAACAAAGGGCATGCAGCAAAACCTTTGTGCACCCGTCAGTTGGGTTTTGTGGCGTCCATGATATCCAACCTGCGATAACATTAGGTAAACCGTTCTGTAGAGTGCTCTCAATCTTGACAAACCTTCCGATGATCTCCCAAACGAGTATGACAAATCTGCATTTGAGGAAGAGGTGATCAACATCTTCTTCATCCGCTCGACAAAGCTCACATTTGTTGACCAAACTCCATCCTCTCCTTTTCAAAGTGTCTTGCGTAAGAATTTGCTTATAAAAGGCTGTCCACATAAAGAAACAATCTTTCAGGAGCACCATTTGCTACCAAATCACTTTATACGGGAAGGATGCTGCTTCTGGGAAAATTTCAAGGATAAGTTCTTCATAGAGGGATTTCATCGTGATAACATGTTGGTTGAAGTTATAAATGAAAATCAATATCATGGATAACTGTTGATACTCGAGACCTAGTCGTGTATGGATATGATATTGATACCGATTTTTGTGTGAGTATAGGTAAAATTCGAACTATTTTGGATAGAGTAATAACTATGTACTATTCGCTAGGGGTGACAATTGAACCCAGATCCACAAGCACCAACCCTACTCAATCCGATCAAAATAGGTTAAAACCCAACATTGACGAGTTTTGTCTAGTGCGAGTTTTACCCCCTTTTAAATTGGCTAGTTGGAACCCGCTTTCCACCCGACCCACATCCAATAAGCAAAATGACGTCTTTTTGTATCTAACTTTTACAATATGAATAATTTATTAATGTTATTCGTCTTTAAATAAGTATAAATTTAATTGTATGGATAATTTATGAATGTTATTATTCTTTACAGATATGTATTTACAAATTTTTTTTTATAATGTTCCGATATGAGTGTTCGAAGAGATAATATAGAGTTATGTTCATGAACTCTTAGAGTATCCATTGAATTGAGGTAAACTTGCTCTTGTAAATTCCGATAAATATTTTACCAAATTTTTTTTTTGGTTAAAGGGATGACGTCAAGCGTCTAACTCATTAAAGTAATCGAACGATCATAGGCAATGCCCATTACATCGTGAAGAAGCCATCTCCCAAGTTCTGGGTCGCACACATTGAAGCGATGTGTGCCAAAATTAAACGAATGACCCCTATTAGCAAGGAAGTCAGCAGCAAAATTAGCTTCCCTAAAAACATGATTAACTCTAACTTCCCAATTTCTATTAAGTAAGACATGGAACTGCCTAGCAAGTATGCCATGGCGATGGTCATCATCAGTGCACTTTTTGATGATATCAATAGCAGTCGTGGAGTCCATATTGAGCTGGACTTTTCTGAAGCCTCTCTCCCAAGCAAGACGCAATCCTTCAGCTGCTCCTTTCAGTTCAGCACCTGTGATAGTGCAGCTGCCCAGATTGCACGTAAAAGCATCAAGACACCTCCCCAGATGATCCCTCAGAAGGCCTCCTGCTGCTGCATTTCCAGGTGGAGAAATAACTGATCCGTCCGTTTGAAGTTGAATCCACCCGACATCAGGTGGCTGCCAGGTGATTTGGTCAGTTCGAAGCAGTCTGGTTGGTGTGCTTCCTACATCTTCATCCCGTTTTTGTGCTTGCTTTATGATATTCAGCCAAGCATCAATTCTGCAGTGGAGGCCAGATCCATTAAAGGCTTTCCCCTCCATCACTTCCTCGTTCCTTTGCTTCCACAAGTTCCAGCATATGACACCAAAATCCACTCCCTTTTCTTCATGGAGAAGATTCGCAAGAAGCCACTCTTGGAATGGTAAGGTAGCATATGTTGTTGTCAATTTGCCTCGGAGCTTGTCCCAAAGATTCTTTGCCTTCTCGTAGCTTCTCAAAATGTGCTCAATTGTCTCTTCCTTGTCTTTACAGTGGTTGCAGTTGCTGTCGGTGGTGATGTTCCTTCTTGCACGTTCCTTGTTGGTGAAGACTCTGCCGTGGAGGACAAGCCACAGGAAATGCTTGATCCGCTTTGGTCCTTTCCATCTCCACATCGCTTTCCAGCTGGTCTCCTCAGCATCCTCTTCTTCCTCCAGGTTGGCAGCAAGGGTGTAAGCAGATTTGAGCCTGAATCTCCCATCACGCTCCAGTCCCCAGATCATCTTGTCTTCCCCCAGTTCAGCATTTGGCTTCTCCATTCCTGCAATGAGTAGAAGAATGTCATCAGGGAGCAGGGTTTTGAGTCTTTCCCAGTTCCACTCACCTCCTTCAGTAACCCAGTGGGACACAGGGGACTGTTTTTCCTCTTCTGTGATTTCATCAATCAAGTAGTTCTCCAGGATCAGACCATTCTCGATCCAAGGGTGTCCCCAGAAGCTTGTTGTCTCCCCATTTCTAATACTCCAACAGGAAGCTTCCTTCATCATAGGCATAGCTTTCACAACAGCTTTCCAAAGACTAGAGTGGTTAGTCTTCTTCATAGCAGTAATGTTGCCATCCTTATGCTTGTAATACTTCCCCTGTAAAACCTGAACCCAAAGATCAGTTTCGTTGTTAAGCAGCTGCCAAGCAAGTTTAATCATGTAAGCTTTGTTTAAACAACGAACTGATCTAAGGCCAAGCCCCCCTAGTTTCTTAGGCATACAGATTGTTTCCCAGGAAACCAGATAGGGTTTCCTCTTTCCATCCATGGAACCCCAGACAAAACCCCTAATTTTCCTGTCAATTTCATCACACACAGACATGGGAATGGAGGTTGTTTGCATAGCAAACGTGGGAATAGTAGTGAGCACAGACTGAGCAAGGGTGACTCTCCCTGCCAAAGAGAGAGTCTTAGCTTTCCAAGAATTGAGCTTTTGATCAATTCTATCTAAGATGTATCTATATGTACCCTTAGTGAGCCTGCCATGTATCACAGGTACTCCAAGGTACCTTCCAAGATCCTTAGTTTCATGTATACCAAGAGAACTACATATAGACTGCCTATCAACCTGTTTAACATTCTTGGAGAAAAAGGTTCTAGACTTCTCTTTGCTAACCATTTCACCTGAGGCATCACAAAAAGACTCAAGACATTTCAAAATAACACAAGCATTAGACAGGCTGGCTTGAGAGAACAAAACAAGATCATCTGCAAAGAACAGATGAGAGAGGGCAGGACCCCCAGTAGAGAGACACACAGGTTTCCAGTGCCCATCATTCACTTCTTTCAAAATACAATGGCTCAATCTTTCAATGCACAAAGTAAAGAGATAGGGTGACAAAGGGCATCCCTGTCTTAATCCTCTTGAGGGAAGGAAGGTGTCAGTCTCTCCCCCATTCCACAAGACCTGGAAAGAAGTGGTGGTCACACAGGCCATGATCAATCTGATGCACTCAATAGGAAGGTGGGTAGCATTAAGGGTTTCCTCAAGGAATTTCCAGCTAATTCTGTCATAGGCTTTAGCAAGGTCAATTTTGAGGAGCATGACCCCTTTCTTGCCAGTCTTCCTAGACATAGAGTGGATAGTTTCCTGCAAAATAACAATGTTGTCAGTAATATGGCGCTTAGGCACAAAGCTGGACTGGTTAGGGTGGACCAACTGTGACATGAGCATCTTCAGGTTGTTGGCAATACACTTGGCCACAACTTTGTAACCCACATTGCAAAGACTGATTGGTCTAAACTGATTCATAGAGGAGGGTGACTCCACTTTGGGAACAAGAGCCAGCAGTGTTTCATTCATGCTTCTGATGTTGCTGGGATTACTGAAGCAACTTCTAATGAAATCTGAGAAGTCCAATCCCACAACATTCCAGCACTTCTGGTAAAACAAAGCATGGAATCCATCTTTGCCAGGTGCCTTTAATCCATTCATTTCCATGATCACAGCTTTAATTTCTTCATTGGTGGGAGTCTTTCCAACTCTTCTCAGGAGGGAGTCATCAACATTAGGGAAAGCAGCAGGAATCTGGATCCAGCAGCAAAGTACTTCACTTGTGAACAGCTGGACAAAATGGCCCTTTGCCATGTCTTGGAGGGTGTCAGGGTCCTCAATCCAGTTTCCATCGACATCTTGCAGTCTTATGATCTTGTTCCTTTTTCTTTTACTCAGGGTACAGTTGTGGAAGTAACGAGTGTTGAGGTCCCCCTTCACAGTCCAGCTAACCCTGGATTTTTGCCTCCACAGCATCTCTTCTTGCCACAGAGTACCCTCCAAATCTTCTCTTGCCTCCCTTTCCTTTTCAAGAGAGCTTCTTGATGGCTTCCTCTCATTCACTATTTCCAGTGACTTCAAGGTCCTGAGCAGGTCCTTCTTTCTTTTGAAAATATTGCCAAACACCTCCTTGTTCCATTTCATCAGGTCAACAGAAAGTCCTCTCATTGCAGGTAGGAAACCTTCTCCTGGCTTCCAAGCATCTTTCACAAAGGGTTGGAACTCTTTGTGTTCAAGCCAGGAAGCAATGAAATGGAATCTTCTCTCAAGTCGTCTTGAACTTTTGTTCATTTCAGTGTTCAAGAGAACTGGCATGTGGTCAGACTTCAGCTTAGGCAAATGGAACACAGTGGAATCAGGGAATGCCTGCTGCCATTCCAGGTTGCATAAACACCTATCAAGCCTTTCTTTAATGCCTGTGTTGCTTGTGAACCAGGTGTACTTTGGTCCAGTAAATCCCAAATCAATCAAACCACAATCATCAATGAACTCATTAAAGGCTTTGGCCTTTGCAAAGTTGAAAGGAGCTCCCCCTTGCTTCTCTGAAGGCTTGGAGATGGAGTTGAAGTCACCAATGATCATCCAGGGGAGATTTGAACTACTTTCAATGATCTTCAGGTTAGTCCAAAGCTCTCTCCTTTCATATTCATTTGGGTTAGCATAAACCACAGTGAGATGGTAGATGCTTTTGCCTCCAGTGATGCATTTCATATTGATAAATTGCTTGTGGCGATCAATGAGTTCCAAAGTCAGGTTGTTCCTATTCCAGAGAATCCAGATCCCACCACTAAATCCCTCGGCAGCCGAGACTTCCCAGGCATCAAATCCCATTGATTTGATGACTTTGTCAGCCTCTCTGCCACTAATGCGAGGTTCCAGAATGCAGACCACATCAGGACTATAGCTAGCCTTATACAGGTTAAGAGTAGGGAGAAACTTAGGGTGCAAGGCCCCCCTACAATTCCAGGAAAGTACCTTAACCATGGGGGTAAGAAATCTTCCCTGCAATGACACAAGGTCGGGAAATTCATCTGTCGACGGCCAAAGCCGTCTTTTGAACCTCTGGATGACTCCCAATTGTAGTATCCATTGGTTCAATGGCATTATCTGGCCCTTGCTCAATGTCTTCTTTCTTAGGATTGAAGTCAATCCTTCTAGGTTTCCCTTCCCCATTGCCGTGATCTTGAGGTAAACCTTTCCTGTGCAGCCTGTCTTCTTTTCCTTCAACAGGTTGCTTCATTTTAGGTTGATGACCAATCATGGCTTCTGCAGTCAATCCCTTCCTGACACCAGGGGTCCCTGTTGACATAGAAGAATGGTGGTTTAAGGGAGAGCAATGCTTAACAGCAGGAGCCGGGGGGGGGGGGGGGGTTGCCCCTGACAAGTGTGTGCCTTTCCCAGCTCCTTGTTTAGCATTAGAGGTGTGTTGTGGTTTGTCAGGACTAGAGTCAGTGTTTTTTCCTTGCTTAGCCAGCAACAGTGAGGCTTTTTGGTGTTCTTTGCGACCTGTCGTCCTATTGTTGGTTTTTTGTTCCTTCACCTGCCCTTCCAGTACTCTGTTTCCCCTTCTTCTTGCTTTCCTGCCTTGCTTCTTTAATTGGTTCCTCCTTTTGATTCTCTGTTGAATTTTCCTGCCTATGCTCAGTTTCCATCTGTGTTTCGACCTGGCTTGTTCTCAAGTTAGCCTCCTGTTACACCCCGGTCTTTCTAAAGGTCAAATGACTATTTTACCCTTGGATAAATTGATCAAGTTTCACCGTAATATCAAGGAGGATTAAAAATGTGAGCTCTCGGTTCAAACGGTGTCGAATTTCGATGTAAAATGAAGAAGTTATCACCGTATATGGATCGAGTGGGTTTTACTTTGTTAAGTGGGTCTGGTTTGGATTTGTGGGCTTCCAGGTGAAGAGGAGTTTTAAATGAATTGGGCTTAAGCCCGTTATGAGAATGGATGAGGAAGGCTGGCTTTGGGCCGGGAAAGAAAAGAAGAGGAGGTAATGGTGGCGGGCCAGCGGCCCGAGTTGGTAAGAGAGAAGGAGGCCGGCCCAGATGAAAGAAGGAAGAAGAAAGAGCAGGGCTTTGGCCCGAGCTGAGAGGAGAA